ATCTCGTATCTCGTTTTTACTATCTTGTTTCTCGTATATATCTCCCAATTATCATATCCCATATCTCTTCCTTACATCTGATTTCTCCCCTCTCCTATCTTGTATCTCATATCTTGCACATTGCATCTCATCTCACATTTATCAAATTTTAACTCTCATATTCCATATCTCATGTCATTCCCTATTCAACGTAACTTCCCTTAAATTTCGTATTCCATGTCCCAATTACTAGGTATTGCTAAGAGACAGTGTTTGGAAGTTTTCGGCGAAAGCGCATCTAAATGGGGTGTCCCTGATCTCAGTGAATGCGTCTCGGATAAAATGATAAATATCGCCCAACAGGTAATGTGGTTTTTTTTCCTTTTTTTAATAAAGAAATGACAATAAAAAAAACGAGAATCACACTTTTCTAGGTTTTTTTAAATAACATAAAATGTCGATGAGAACATTGTTGATGCGTTTGAGTGAGAGGCAACTCGCCATAAATAAATTTCTTTTTGTGACGTTTTTATCATATCTATCTGTAACAGCGCGCTATTATTGGTCAGTGTAGTGAAGAATAGCTTACCAAATTTCCCATCAGATCTAAGTGCCTCGCCCAAAGCCACAGTGACTCTAACCACTTTAAGAAATAATTTTTGTTATTTACAATACAGCTGGATGATCCCGACGTCGATGTCACCGAAATTTCCATGCAGCTTGTTAATGCTACTGACGTTAACACGCATGCACAAGCTCCATTTCAAGCCGGTGACCTTAAACTGGTCGTTGACCTCATAGAGAAGATTTCTCAAAAGAGCCTGGGAACAATGCAGTACTTACCACCTGCCATAAGAGACGAAACAATAAAAAAGATTACAAAGGTTTGTCAACTTAAGTTAAATCCTTCGTGTGACTACAATTGTTTCTAAATTCATATCAGAATGTGTCAAATTTGCCGCTCTATTTTTATTTAGGCCATAGTGAAGTCTTCCAGTAATATTCTAGACGACAAAGCTCTTGAATCCTGGAAATTTATGCCAGAGGTAAGAAATATACAGAGAGGAAATAGAGGGCATTTGAAAGGTGTTGGTTTTATTTCAGCTGGTGACCAAATGGCTCTCTTTGCATTAACTGGCATGTTTATTTTTCCAGGACTCGAGGGCCGCTGAAGCAAGTAAGCTTTTAAAAGGAGTTGATGGTATTGCTCTCTATTTGGCCAAAACAGCTGTTGCGAGTAATGCAATCGTATCTGAGGCCTCAAACGTCGGTGAGTATCACTCTAGTTACCTCCATACAAACTCCGTATGGGGCGCTATATTTGGAGGTAAAAGAAACGAGAAACTCTTTCTAATCCTGATAACCCGCCCATGTGACTCACAGTACTTCACACTTTAGGAAAAACCTTTGGAAAACAAACAGTTTTTCTTGGTGTGTTCCCATGTGAACATTAGCTTTAGAGCTCTCGCAGTTTTCAACAGCATGGTTAATTAGAAATTTTTCGGACTTTCCGTAACAAATGGAAGATAAACCTTTAGCTCGTGCGTGATTTGAAGCAGAAACTCTTCGCATTGGGCCCGTTATTAATTGAAACTTTGCGGGGCCGAATTTGTTGCAGAATTCTCTACTACGTTAAGGAAAATATCTGAGGAGTGCCGGTTCGACAATCAATAGGACTGCATCTTTCCAATTTCTTGCGTTTATTTATAATCCATACAATATCCGAATTTTCTACATTCAAACGATCTCAATCTTATGCTACAAGATAGCAATTCTATTTATCTGCTATTACAACGGAAATACACGCCTAAACTACGTAAAACCAGGATTGACATTACTTATTCGTGATTTACTAAAATCCCAAGCTATTTCCTGTCAACTTGATTTCTCATTCTACGCCGATCAATACCTCTATAATTTACACCCACACGCACGCACTATTTGCTACACGAATGACACATCACGCAATGTCACAGGATGTTCCAACCCAAACCTGCACGCACAATT